GGCTGGGGAATTCTGGGAGTTGAAGTCTACCCATCTTAAAGCGTGCTGGCTGGGGAATTCTGGGAGTTGAAGTCTACCCATCTTAAAGCGTGCTGGCTGGGGGATTCTGGGAGTTGAAGCCCACCCATCTTAAAGCATGCTGGCTGGGGGATTCTGGGAGTGGAAGTCCACCCATCTTAAATTTGCTGGGGTTGAGAAACACTGTTCTAAAGCAATGGAAAACAGTTCCTGACCACATTCCCTTTTACTGTATATGCCTGAGCATGACTATCATGTCTCCCCTCCAGACTGAACACCCCCAGTTCCTTCACAAGGCATGTCCCCAAATCCCTGCACCGTCTCCAAGTCTTCTAAGGGGTCTTTCTTAGAATTATAGCTGAAAGGGGCCCTTGAGGCCATCCAGACCAGCCCTCTACTCAGGGCAGGAATCCAGATTAACGAACCCCCTCTTGATGGCTCACCAGCCTCTGCTCGAACACCTCCCCGAAGGAGAAGCCCACTACCTCCCTGGATCCTCTCCAATAGCCTGTCCTGCTGAGAAGCTTTTCCTAACATCCAAGAAGTTTAGGAACCTGCTGTACCTCAAAATGATTTTATTTGGCAGTCTGGAGGCCCAGAAGGCTGATCGGAACCTTCTTCTGTGTGAAATTTTATCAGGGACCTGAGTGTTCTTGTATTCCCTGCTCCCTCTTTTCCGTCCAGAGCTACAACCTCCCTTTACTGGACTCATGGCTTGATTAATAAATAAAATCTGTCCATGTTGTCCAGGTATCCAGAGTCTGTTCTTTCTGCCAGCCACAGAACGATACCTGTGCACAAAATGGCAACCATAGATGACTTTCGGGCTTCTTCCACTTTCCCGGCCCCTAAGGCATTGCCCACTCGGACGCTGACGGAGGTCCCGATCCCAAAAGGAATCTATAACAAGGCAAGAAAGCAGAGCTGATCAGAAGAGAGGAGACAGGCCTGTTTGGATAGCCTTCCAGCTCCTGCCTTGGCCAGACCCTCCCCAACATGGATTTATTTATGAAATTTATACACTGTTTCTACCTTCAAGGAAGGTACAGGTCATCCTCGTTTAGCAACCGCAATTGGGACTGGCAACTTGGTCATTAAGCAAAGTGGTCGCTAAGTGAAACCGCAACGATGCTTACAATCTTACTTCAGCTTGTCTTGGCTTTACCGACCTGCGAAGGTCATAAATGCAAGGATTGGTTGCAAAGTTACTTTTTCATCAATGTCGTAAGGCAAACGGTCACTAAATGAGGCAGTCACTAACCAAGGACTACCCGCATATCAATTACAGCCCAAGAAAGCAATAGAATGCACACAAAATGCAGGAAAATTTACATTATGATTTCCTAATTCGGGGCGTCTGGAAAGAGGGGTCCAAAAAGTCAAGAGGGCAGGGCCTTGGCCTATTTTTGACACTGCAGAAGGTCTGGGTGGGCAGCGTTTGTTGAACCGCTGTGGTGATGCGGCAGACGGGAAATGCTTACCATATAAGCAACTGTGGCAATTTCATAAATGATGGACTGGGCAGACAGATCCAGCACACTTAGGAGTCCTGAAGTGAAAAAAAGTCAGGGGGAAAGAGAAAATAAAGATGCAGGGGTGTCCACAGAGAAGAGGTCCAAAAAGTCAAGATGGCGGCCTCATCTCCTGTGGATGCCCCTACAAGGAACAGTAATCTGCATATTTTGCTTCCCACTAATATTTATTGCCCTGCCCACCTGAGAGGAAGGGGGCGTCCTGCCTTTTGGCTCCACCCCCCAGCCACAGCTCCTCCCCCTGCCCACTCCTGACCTATCAGAAAGCTTCCAATTTCAAAGGTCCACCATTCAATGCACGTCATCAGCATACTGGGAATCGCCAGCGACATAAAGAGACCCCATTCCTGCAGGCATTCCATGGACCAACCTGGGTTGCCAATGGGGGAAAAAAGGGAAAATCACGTCAGCGAGCCAGGATTCGCAGATTGAAAGCAGCAGTTACGCGATAAGAGACTGCCGGCTTTTGAGTCCAGCGAAGTGGTGTCTACGGGATATGGCCAAAATGCAGTTTTTAAATGCTCTCTAAGGAAAGGGTCCTCTGGAAAGATGTTGCAGATCAGGCGCAAGGAATTTTTTTGCAGGTGGGTTGGTGGGCATTTTCATTTTTTTAATTTGGTGCCCGAGTGAGGTCAGCAATCTGGTACTGTGCCCAGAAAGAGTGGGGCTGAAATCTTTGCCCCTTTTTTGTTGCGGGTGGGAGATTTGAAATAAACATGCCAAACTTCTACCACCCTTAATGCACCTATTTTCATTGTTTCAAAAATCGTCTTTGTAAAAATGACATGTTGCTGCCATATTTCGGCCACGAAGTCCAGACCTGAGAGGATGGGGGGCAGCAAAAATGGGTTGGGGGGACATGTAGCTCATAGAATTTCAGAATCCTACTACTGACTGTAGACATTTAACTTAAATTCTATCAGAAATGTGATAGCTTCAGACTGCATCTACGATTTTGGGCTCAGGTGAAAAAGCAATCAATGGTTGCTCGATTCTTGGTTTGAAATGATAAATATGTCCAATTTTGCTGAATCGGAAAACCTTCTTAAGAGCCAAGTTTTGACAATGGGGTCCAAATCGGAATACATCCGGCCATTGAAACGTGCTGCGGCTGGAAGTGTGCAATGACCCTAATTGGGGAAATCAGCCACAGGAGCTTGGCGGAGGAGCCAGCAAGGAGCGGCACAGCCACACTCTTACACACACCTATAAAAAGTGTCTTACCTCCCCAGGTTTCCACGTGAAGCTTTTTCCACTTGATATACAAGAAGAGAGTGATGGCTTGAGAATACTGCGCGATGGTGTTGGCCCACGCAGAGCCTCTTTGAGGGAAGAAAGAGATGCGGATCGTCATGATAGAAGGAGAAACGAGAGCGGAATTTTTTTAAAAATTACTGTACAAAATGGGCTTTGTCTGTTTTGTGAATATTCACGCCAAGTTGCTCTTTGCAGGGCATTGGATGGAAAGGCCTTTCGGTAGTGGATCTACGGCCCACCTTTCGTTGTTTTGTCTGGCCGTGAAGTCGAGTTTTGTAAAGTTTGTCGCTGGATGAATTCTAGTCCCCTTAATCCATGGCTTTATTAACAACCTTTTGCCAAAACCCGCAACTGATGTCCCGTCTTCCAAAAAATGGCTCGGCAGACATGGTGTCTGTTCCAGGGAAGACGAGAACAAATCAGCACGCAACAGAAATAGACGTGTATGTCCCCAACAGCCTACTTACCTAACTCCCATGTGAAATTGGTAGAGGAAGATATAATTCGCAAGGACGTTGACAATGTTTGCAGCAATGCCACAAAAAACCTCTGGCCAGATGATCCTCTGCAATGACATATTATTTTATTTCCTTTTTTTTACATTTCAGCTGATACCATGCTCTTTCAACTCTTAAAAAAAGTTTATTTCAACTGAGCTGGACTCTTGGTGTCATTTTCCTGGTGGCAGCAGCACAGAAAAGTTCTGCTAGGATCTTCTTTTGAAATGGATTTTGGCTTCCTAGCCTAGCCTACCGCTTGAAGATTTCCTAGTGGTGCCCCATCCAAGCACTAATCACCCAGCTTAAGTTCCCAATGCTTGCTGAGACTTTTCACCCTAACAGGGCCCAGTGTCCAAAGTTAGGTTTTGGTTTGCAAAGGGTGCCATGTCTGTTTCCAGATGCCTTTAAAGGGACAGGCAATTAACCTGTCATAAACCTGAAAATAATCAGTGTATGATTGGTGATACTAAACCCCACATTGTGCTGGTTAAGGAGGAGCAGAGCAGCCTGAAAACATAGTCTGCTGGGGTCCTTGCTGGCACCTTGGATGCCAAGCTGGCACCTTCACAGCGACTTGGATCAGCTGTCTCAATGTTTTGCCCCCCCTTAGCACTGCTGGGATAGAGGGCTGGAGTTTCTGACTTAGATCAAGGGGCTCCATTATGACCCAGCCTTTCGAAAGATGCCTTCCAAGGGTACCCCTCGGCTCTCGCCCCCTTGGCGCCAAGAGCTACGGAACGAAGGAAAGGAATCGCTTACCTGGTTTTGCAAATACCGCATCTGGATCTGATAAATAAAGGATGCCTGCCAGATGCAGAGAAGAGGAGGCCCGTCAGCAATCAGAAGGAAGCAAGAATCTGCAGATTCATTCATTTTTAGTTGAATCCCCCCCCCAAAGGAATTGGCATTGTTCTCAGCATTGCCCCCCATCTTGTAGAATCATTGGATCCTGAATGCATGGATTGGAAGAGACTCTAGAGCAATGAGGACAGGAAGGCCTGGTGCAATATGGTTCATGGGGTCACGAAGAGTCGGACACGACTTAACGACTAAACAACAACAACAACTAGAGCAATCTTTCTCAACCTTGTCACCTTTAAGATGGGTGGACTTCAACTCCCAGAATTCCCCAGCCAGGCCCGCTGGGGGGGGAGGTTTGGGGTGTGGAGTCCAACCAATCTTAAAGGGAGAAGATTAGAGATAAGTGCATATG